AAGGCCGCAATCAGGCCCCCCCGCAGCCTTCTCTTCTCCAGGCTGAACAAGCCCAACTCCCTCAGCCTGTCCTCATAGCAGAGGGGCTCCAGCCCTCGGATCATTTTTGTAGCCCCTCGGATCATTTTAGTAGCCCTCCTCTGGCCCTGCTCCAACAGGTCCATGTCCTCCTTGTGCTGAGGGCTCCAGAGCTGGATGCAGTACTCTAGGTGAGGTCTCACCAGAGCCGAGTAGAGCGGTGGGATTTAGTATCATTTTAACATATGTGATTAACATTTTAGCTAAATCTCGAAAACAAAACTGGAAACCAATGTCTTAAGAACAGCTCTGGCTATAAAACAGAAAAGGAGATCAGAATTTATCCTTAAACCGTTTTTTTTCCTCTTATACTTCAGGCTGTCCTTAATACCGAGCAGGACTGGTATCTTCAGTATGAGAATGGTTATTTGGTTTAAGCTGAGCTCTTAACTTAATTTTCTTTCCCATGGTATGAAAATAATTAACCGTGAAAAAGAATAGAGAATAAGACCAGTATGAAGCCCGATCTCCTTTCAGAGCCACACTGGCATAGCTGAGGGGCCACCTTCCTCTGACGAACGGCGTCCCCGAGTTCCGGGCAGCGCCGCGCCTCCCTGGCAGTTCGCTATGACCTGGATGTGACATGCCCGCGGTACCGAAGCTGTTAATTCCCTCTTTCGCAGGATGTGGGGCAGGAGCGTAAACACCGGCCTCTCACCTCCCAGATAGGTGATCTGCTCAGCTAGGCTAGGTGATAGTCTAAATTGCGTTCAATTAATTAAATAGTCATTAGAATAAATACTGTAGTCCCAGGCTTCCTCAGATAAGTACATGAGCAATTTGATTCTAGGCTCCAATGCTGTCTCTGCTCGACGGAGTGTGTTTAATTTTCAGCATCTGTTTTAGTCACTGAATCCATTAAGTTGCGCTGATGAAAAATAATTTCTTGCTGAAGTGTTTTGCTGGATTAGACTTTAAAGACAAAAGAGGGTGTAGCTCAACTCAGGCTCTGTGTGGGTTGCAATTTTAATGGTGGAGAGGGAAGGTGCTTAATAAAGATGATTAGGAAGTTATTAAAGAAGGGAATGGTAACAAACAAGGAAGTCAGCTGGGAGTAGACAGAAATTGCATGCTTGGTGCTGAATGCGAGTTGTCAGAAGCGCTGGGAAGAGTGTAGGAAGTTTCCAAAGAGTTGCAATGTGAAGAAGTACAGTTCTCGTCTTGCTTTGGGTGCCCTTTGAGCAGATCGCATACAGCTGCGTAAACCGAAGAGCGTAACGATAGCTCGCTGGCGTGGGTGTGTTTTAGCGCGGGCGTTTTCAGTTACCGGCAGCCGAGAGCTGTAGTTGAAGCTGCTTGCTGCTGGCAAGGCAAAGGGCCATCCTGCAGCAACGCTACACAGAATGGCAAGGGTCGGAAGGGACCTCAGGAGATCATCCAGTCCAACCCCTGTTTGATTTACTTCTGCAGAGCTTTCTAGGTTGATAACAAACATCTGCATCACTGTTGATGCTCTGTCGTACTGCTTAGTCACTTGGTCGGTCTGTTCTGTTTAGGTACGTTTTTAATAAGCTGCAGGGAAGGAAAGTTTGAAACTGGTGTGTGCATATCGGACACGTGATCGTGGTTTTTTGTGGCTCAGGGTTCAGTTTGCTTTACTTTTTCGGTCGAACTTTGTTTCGTCCTTGATGTAGAAGCCAAACGCTACTCGCAGCCGCGGCAAGCTTCATCTGGAGTAATTCACAGCAAACTGTGCTCTCGTCTGCTTGATCTAAAGGAAGAACGTTGTTTAGAATCAATTCCCTTCCAGTATGGCTTACACGTGTGAACCCCTTCACCGTGGTCATGAAAAAATAATATATGAAATGGCACAGACAAGAAGGCTTCTGTCAGCGCAGAGGGCAAAAGCCTGAAAGCCTTTGCAGGACTTGCCTATCCATGGGAGAAATTTTGTGAGCAAGACCTTTCCATGGCCGGGCTGGGTTCTGTGAAGCGCTCAGGGCCCTCGCCTCCCATGGTGTAATATTAACCAGCTTGTAAGATCTGTCTGTGTTGTTTGAAACGGCCCTCAAACGTAGCCTTCCGTTTCCATGCGTCAGCTGCCAAATCGAACTCGTAAATTGTGATCAGATGACTGGATCACTCGGAATTACCAAGGCAATATGTTATGGATAAAAGGCTCTGATACGGGTGAAATTCTCACCTTAATTGCTGGTTTGTCTGAAGCTAAGGGAAACTTGTTGAAATAAAAGTTAGCTTATTGATTGGTTTTTTCATAAAATTCGCACACAATTACTGGATAAATCTATAAAACGCTTCATTTAAAATGTTAAAATCTTATTTCAAGACTGGCAAAAATCGCTCTGAAAGCATTAGCCTATACCTTTTGAGGTCATCGTTATAAACGTAGACCCAGAATGACCAGTCGGGTCCGTATAACCCCAAACCCACTGACATCCACAGCGGCACTGGGCTCCCCAGTTCTGTAAGCACCCGCGGTCGCCTTCGGTCGCGGCGTGCCTCCTTCGGCCCGAGGCCTGGGGGAAGGCATCTCCTCGTGCAAGAGCGAGGAACCGCCTGGGGGTAGTTCAGGCTGGGACAGAGCCACCGGGGCTTCTGGCTTCTCCGTCCCCTCCCAGCCTCTGCAAGTCCAGCCTGCTTGGCTGGTACGGGAGGGAGGGCAGGCAAATCCCTGTTTGTGATGGCGCGAGGGAAATGTATCTGCATCAAAGTTCTTTGGGAATGAAAGAGTTTGGGTATCTTAAAAATAAGCATAATTGTATCCAAGCAAAACATTTTTAGGTTCTGTATAATATTTCACATATGATTAAATGTCCTTGTGAGTATTATAAAAGTGTATTTCACCTTAAAGTGCTCTAGTCTTCTCAGTTCTGAATGTATTCCTCTGAGAACATGTGGGTAACTAGATAAAATAATTTTGCACGTTACCCTCTCTAAACTGGGCAGCGTGAGTTACGTATTGCGCAGCCCTGTGCTGGCACGATTGAGTTCAGGCAGGTTTGTCCAACTTCTCAGCAAATTGACAACGTGTCTTTTACTTTCATGCACGATGCTCATCATCTCGTCATGTGCCACGCAGCGGCGGTCCGCTCTGAGTAAGAACAATTCCAGCTCTCCCGTGGTACTGGTATGTCCTAGCACTGGAGTGCTCCGGGACGGACAGAGCCAGTGGTGGCTGCAAGGCTGGGGGCGAAGCTCAGAGCTGCCCCGCCTGGGCCAGGGCGGGTTCTGGGAGTCGGTGCCATGCCTGCCACGGAACTGGTGAGAAGGAATTAGCAGTGGGCATTCATTTTTGAAGTATTTTACATTCAGTTCAAGTTCTGTGTGTGTCAGAGCGATGTAGGAATCGGGCTGCGTCTTCTAGACCTCCGTATCATCTCTTTTCGGTGTTCCGTCCCGATGGAGCGTTCTGTTGGCATCGGTGGGTTCCCTGAAAGGGCTGTCAGGCTCTGGAAGGGGCTGCCCAGGGAGGTGGTCAAGTCCCCATCCCTGGAGGGATTTAAAAGAAGGGTAGATGAGGTGCTTAGGGACAGGGTTTAGTGGTGGGATGGCAGGGGTAGGTTAAAGGCTGGACTTGATGATCTCAAAGGTCTTTTCCAACCAAAGTGATTCTGTGTTTCTATGATTCTATTCCTTGCCGGACCCACCGCGGGCGCACGGCGCGGGGCAGGAGGAGGAAGCAGCTTTCGAAGTTTCCTGCAGCAGTTACAATGTTGAGATTTCTTGATTACTGTGATTGCTGCTGAAACAGTTTCTTTTCTACTTTGATTTCTCTTTCCTGGTGCTCTTATGATTCACTCTCGGGAGATTCAGAAAACTGCTTCAGGCTTCCTAAACTTACGCAACCGTTCACAGCTGGAAATCTGACCTACTTCAGAGCTGCTCCGAGCCGGTTAAGAATGTCTCCGAGGCTGAACTGCAGCAATGCAAGCTTCCCGAGCACTGCCCAGGGGTTAAGGGAAGAAAAGATTTGTTATGAAAATTAGCAGTTTGTACTGCGAGGAAGAATAAATACTATGCTGTAAAGTAACAAATTGCCCAATCCTTAGATTAGATGCAGTGGGAATTTTGTTTACTTGGGTAAAGAACTGGACGTGGAGACTTCAAGCAATGCGTGCAACTTGTTAACTGGCGGTGCTCCACAAAATGGGGGTGTCTGCAGTCTGCGTGTAGACAGCGCTGGGGAAAAAAGTGGAAGAATCTATTTGAAAATGAACAAAACTGCTGCCGCTTACGGATTTCTGTAATTTAAAAAGGCGTATTTCATTTTTCATTCAAGAATGTGCAAATGTTCCACGTGGGCGTCGTCTTCACAGGTGGCAATGATGGAGTTTTGTGAGCACTTTTTGAAACAATTGCTGCTGCTTGGCGCATTGGATAGCGACCTGGTGTGGTTTGCTGGCAGTTCTCTGCCCCTTTCATTTCGGTGTTTAAGCAAAATACAAATTTTCTTCCCTTGGTGAAAAAAAAAAAGCATTTTAGATTTCCATCCCTTTACACCAGCTGACCTTAATATGTAACACGAAAGATCATAAGTAGAAGTGGAACAGCGACATGATCCTTGAAGACCTAGTCTCATACGTGAGCTTTGATTTCTATCCCGTTCTCCAGGCGCTTACAGAAAACAGGGATCTAACGCCCTCGGATGGGCAAAGAGGTGATTGAGAAACAAACTCCTCAAAGTGAGAGTCCAGATCGCGTACCGGGCAAAGAGGTGATTGAGAAAAACCAAACTCCTCAAAGTGAGAGTCCAGATCGCGTACCGCCACGCCGTACATGGGTTATTTCCTTTGGTGGTGGCGAGGCCCTGGCTTTAAAACACTTCTAGGTGATTTCGGCCAGTGGATCTCAATACTTTTGGAGCTGATGACCATATTCAGATTAATTTGGGAATCTGTGTAAGCCTGAGCTCAAAGCGTAAAAGGTTTTTGAGATTGAAGTGCAGTAATCACTGAAACATTACTTATTTTCTTCCCCGCAGGGCACTGTTCGAAGGATTATTATCGAGAATCCTGATCAGGTAGGGAAACCGTTCCGTGCTGGAGTTCTGCTTGCGTAACTCTTCCTCCCCTAACTATCCCGACTCAGTGAAGTGCTCAGCTGCCTCCACCAGGGGATGCTGAATGTTTTGAAATCACACGGTCCGTACCTCTGATTGTGAGAGATGAAATTATTAGGGATCAAAAATAACTACAGGATCGCCAGCTCAGCCAGTCAGGCTTCCCAGCTCTCAGCGGTCAGGTGCTAATGACGCTTCAGTAGTGTCGCTAGCGGAAACGAACTTCTGTTTCCATGGTGCTTATCTCAGCCGTTGTCTGGATGGAAGAACAGTCACTTTGTTTCCAAATGGACATACGCTCCAATGTACATGTGTTAAGGAACTGTCTTGAAGGTGTCTTCAAATTACATTTTTTAGTCAAAATTAATTACACTAATTCTGAATTTGCCGTTAGACAACACTGATGAATGTTTTTATTAAAATGTTTTACAGGAGCCGTTATCCCCATTTCTTAGAGGGGGGAATTTCTGTCCTGGAAATAATGTCATCTATGAAAAGACAATAAGAAAATACGAGCTATTAAATCCCCACCAGGTAAGTTGGTTGTTTGTAGTTGTCTATTGCAAGAGAAAACTGAGCTAGTAGCAGACCAGTGATGTTCCTGCGTTGGGTTTTGCGTGGGGAACTGCTGCCAACCTGAGAATTGCCTTGCAGAGGTAGAGGACATATTCTCAAAGTAAACGAAGCGGTTTCTGTATGTCAGGAGAGCAGAAGTTGGAACGTGTGCTGTATTTTTACTAAGAATTTATTATTTCAGACTAATAATTAAAACTGCTGTCGAATCTCTAGCACTGGCAATCTTTGTCTGAATACCGAGAACTATTGTCTTGCAGTAGCTCCACAACAGAATAACCAATACAGACTTTTACACAAAATGAAAAGACAGATTTTATTTTTTTTTTCTTTTACTCACTCTTGAAAAAATGTATTTGGTAACTTTGTCTTAGAATTGGTGTTTTGTCAATAGCAAAAATATTCCTCTTCATTGCTCTGAAATGCTGTTATTTTCAACAGGAAAAATTTTGAAATTAAAGCTATTTCAGAGTGATTAATCTTAACCTGTTCGGGGTTTTTGTTTGTTTAACTGAAGCTTTCATTCCATTTTGGATTTTAGATAATGATGTGTGATACCCATACCCCAAAGCGGAACGCAAGAAAATCTGAGCTAGTGACAAATAATAACTTCTTTTTTCCCCTAGAGTAATAAAACGTGGAGTCCTGGAAAGCATATTTCTGCTTCTGTTTTTTGTTCTCTGGGGCGTATCTAGACTTAGGTCAAATCAGGAGCGTAGTTCTGAAGGAAATTTCCCAGTCTCCTACTGCGTATCGCTCTGTGGTTCACAGGTACTGGGCCCTCGCCCTGCTCCTCCTGGGCCGCTGGGCAACGCGGGCGTAATGCTGTCCCTAGTGCTGATTTGGGTGCAGAATTAAGACGTTGCTTCGGCCTTTTAAATGTAACAGCGTTGTGAATTTTCAGTCAAAATTACCTGAAGCCTGGGATCTGTGTTTAGATACTTCTGTGTGTAGAATACCAAATGCGTATGTTTTGAAGTAAATTTGTAAAAGCCGTGATCGTGAGAAACAATTAAGTTTGCCAAAATGAGTAACTTTCAGTGTTTTGACTGGAATATGAAGTAGTTTCTCTTTTACTGGTTTGGTGGGTGGTTTTGTGATCGCACTTTTCTTGATTACAGACCCAAGACGCGCATCCCTTACATATTGCGTGCTCTGAATCTGGAACTGCTGAAAGCATTTACAGAAGAAAATGTCTTGAGCTGTTTCCCGTACTAAATTTTTGTCTAACTGAAATGATGAAAGCTCAGTTCAACTGGAGCTCTTTTTTTAACTCTCAAATACTTAATGAAACAGGATCTGCATGTGTTTAAACACTGGTGTCCCTGTTCTGTCACTGGAGTATTTTGAGTAACACAATGAATCGTACAGCTCAGTCAGGGTGTATCTTCTGTGCTTTTCATTTGCAGCTACTAAAAGTTGGGATTTACAACCTTGAAGTATGAAACTGTGAGGCAAACTCATGTTCAGTTAGGAAAAAAAAGCAATTTTATTAGGATTATTAAAATATCAGAAACTGTCCTCAGTCTGTCCCACGTTCCATTCATTTATATAATTCTTATTAAGCTTTGATCTCATTAAGATCTGTCCAGCAGCTTAAAAAAGTTCATCCTTGTTTCCAGGAGAAGCAGTATCAGTTCTCCCACCAGTGCCAGATTCCCCAGCCAGCCGAGCAGTGCCACGTTGTCCAGCCCTGCCAGCCCCCTGAGCACTCCCTCGTCACGCACCAGTGCCAGCAGACACAGACCGGCAGCCCCTGTGAAATAATTCCAGTCTCTGTGAGCGATGACTGCAGAGGAAATACAGTGAGGAGGGTAACGGTTCAAACCTGTGACCCGGTAAGAATCATTGGTGGAATGTTTTACTGTTCACAGCGTGGTTTGGGTTTGTATGCGGAGTACAGAACTTTCCAGATACAGAAAATCGCTCATCCCCAATCCCAGAAGTTTTTGTTCAAACTCACAGCAGGGTCACTAAGCACCATGCGCCCCGTGTACGTGAGCAGCAGAGTTTGCGGGCCTGTTGCAGGTAACTCCTCTGCGTGCTGTGATTGCAGCCCTTGTCTAGAACTGTCCAAGACTTTGTCACGTGCTGTTAAAAAAGAAAGGAGAAAAAAAAAAAAAGCTGGTTTAGGTGGTGTATCCTGTTCCTTGTTGGCGTAGACCTGAGCTTAACTGTGCCAACCACTCTGTTGTCCTTTAAACGCGTTAAGTCTTGCTGGTTGGTCTGCTGTGTGTTTGGTGTTTATCTGGGAGCATTGCCCACTGGTTGAGTCAGGTTTCATCTGTCAGTCGTTGTGTGACGGAGATGGAGCAGCGCAAGGCTTATGCCGCTAGTTTTGGAGAAAAGATCCGCGACTGTATAAGCTGTACATCCACCCATTCGGGATTGCCTTCTGCCTGAACTGATCCGTAAGGATTCCAAATGTGTTTCAGTTTGATGTAGAAGTATTTGACATAGATGCACTGGAAGCACAAGTGGAAGGGGCTTCCTTCGCCCTTCATTTTACAGCAGGTCGCAAGTGGTGGAGTTCCCAAGGGCTGCAGGGCGTTCGCTCCCCACGCCCACTGCTGCGGGAGGGAGCGCAGCAGCCCTTCCCGGGCACCATTTCAGTGTATAGGTGGCAAGACAAACAGACTTGGCGACCTTAGGGTTAGAGCTCTGCGGACTCTTCCATGGCCAGATACTGCCATAAACCAACTTGGGTGCGCTCGGTCTGGGCCGCTGTTGAAATCCTTTCATTTGCATATGTAAACATTTGAACTGTGGCAACACAAATACTGTTTCTGCAGTGGGGAATCTTGCACCCAGCTGGTTGTATCTGGGTGCTGCCCACAGGCCCTTTATCCACGACAGTTATGGAAATGCGTATGCTAACGGAAGATTTCCTAATTCTCAACGCTTCCCATCTCAGAGTAACGATGATATTGCTGTAGAACAGAATACTTCGCTTATTTCTTGTTGTAAAGGAAGTAATTTATTTCTGCATGGTTTGCCAAAACCCAGACTACATGGAAGACTCAATACCAAGGAACAGAGCAGTGCAAACAAACTGTACGTTGCTAAGAGCATACAAACCCAAATCCACCATCCTTGTAGCACTTCCCTGTTCAGCTTTCATCCCGAAGAAGGGAACTCGGTTACGATCTCCTTGCTTATCTTTTGCTAGGTGAATTGCTCTCAGGAAAATAATGACCAGCTGGACTGCCGCTACTTCGGGGAGCTCCTTGCTGAACTGAACCGCAAGACCAATGACTTGTACAGCTGCTTACTGCAGCACGTGGAGAAGATAGGAGGAAGGTACTGGCGTTGCATCTGCTCGGTCGCTTCCGTGTGCCAGCAATCCTAGCACCGCACAGCTGAGAGGACAGGGTTGGCTGCAAGTTGTTTTCTTTTCCCCCCCCAACAACTAGAACTGACCGTGTATTTTATGCATAAATTTGCTGAGTAACTGAGGACATAAAAATGCTGTAAGCCGAGTACGTTTATCGAATTTGATGCTTTTTCAAATTGTTTAGACTAACACGCAGTAAGAATTGCGTACCCCGTGCCCGGTTGCACACAGAGCAAACACGTATACGTACAGCACGCTCTGACGTGTATTTAATAATACAATTCTATTATTACAGCCTGAAGAAACCACCCAAATGTCCAGGTTGCCATTGCCTGTGTTCTCTCATGGTGTTACATCATGGATTAAAAGATGGCCACCACGAGGCATAAAGCTCAGTCTCTACATGCAAATTAATGTTAAGCACCTATTCTGCAGAGCCCTACAGATTGTCTTTGAAAAGAAATGCAGGATCCCAGGAGCTGGTGATCTGAGCCTTCACAACGTTCCCACCCTTCCCTCACCATCACTGTTGCTTCGTTCTTCCCCCCCGTCACTCCCAGTCTCGTTTGATGCTTTCCAAGTTCACCAACATAAGAAAAGTGGTCCCACAGCAGGGGAAAAATGCAATTTAAGCATCATAAACCCGCTGATGCTGCTAAGTAAACCCTTGCATCTCGATATACTGCAGCCTAGTTCTGGGCAAACCATTACCCAGCCAATTAAGAATGTAATTGGGTTAACCGAGCGTAACTGGGATAACTGCCCAAAGAAACGGAGCAAGTTAGCCTGCGCTAACTGTACTGCTGTCGGGATTCCAGTCTCCTTGGGTATTTCTACATGGAGTTGTTTTTAACAACTCCTGTTGCCTAAGCGCCTTAAGAGGAAGGGAACAGCTCTTAATCTGGTAAAGAACCTTCCTTCCTTGCTCCCTATTTTAAAGATAATCTTTTTATAGTTGTGAATGCCTGCGTGAATTCTTTAAGTTCTCAAGAAGCTTTCTGCTCATTTGTCCCTTGCATTTGTCTGTTTTACAGGAACCACGACATTGAATTGACGTGTCAGGTGAGCATCAGGCCCGCTCTTAGCAAGCTGTTCTGTGTGTTCATAACAACAGGGTGGATCTTCAGGCAGATTAAGCCCAGCCAGTTTAAACGAAGGATGCCGGTCTTTGTTAGTTAATGATTCCTGCTTGTTTATAACAGTCAGAGCCTTAAACCTACTGCTAGGCAGGTATTTGCAAACGTGGTAATACTGAAAAGGAACTTTAATAATTTGCATTAGTCCAGTATAGGAGTCAAATTTTGAAAGCCTTTCCTGCTGTGCCAATAATGGTTTCACTGTAAAACAAACTTGCACAGCTACACGTGTTTTCACTGCGTGGTTTTTGCCAAGGAAGCTGCTGTGCTCTGCAGGAAGTGAAGAATCCTGGCTCTGGCGGAGAGGAGAGGACTGTAACCCGACAGAGGCGGCTTCCTGCGTCTGCAGACGCGTGTGTGAATCGGGCCGCGACAGAATCGTCAGCACCTCTGTTATTTTTAAAGGCATTGTGTGCATTGCAGAAATATTTGTCTAGAGTTAAATTACACAAAGCCGTGCCACGTAATCCCTGGCAGCACTGGTCATCCTTCGTTCATGGGCAGTCTGTTCTGTGTTTAGAAACAGGGGATTTGCTCAGAGCAGAAGCTGCCGGGAGTTCTGAGTTAGCGTCAGCTGTTATTTTCTTACAAGAGGATTGTTTTGAATACAGCTTTTAAAATAAATGTTGAACTCAGTGATTTGAATATATGCTTCATGTATCACTTCATCGCAGTTTTTGTATGCCACACATACGTAAGTCTCTGGAAATTTTCTGGATACACTTTGATCTATTTTCATTCTTATTTGCCTTGTACTAAGCGTGTTTTTCATAGCAGACCCGTGTAACTAATGAAGAAACCACATTATGATCTACCAAGCAAAATTCTTAATCAAGATGTCTCCCCTTCCCTCTTAGACTGAAGATATTGAAGACTTAATTCCCAAAGGACTGTCTGAGGCAACAAAGCAGCAGATTCGTTATCTCCTCCAGGTATGAGTGGGGTGGAAGGGGTGGAACAGTGGAAGCTGGCTTACGCGTCCCGGGGATTTTGTACAGGACAAGCTTCACTCTCTGTTCTGCTCGCTCCAGTGGTCCTAGTGTAAAAGGGTACGGAGTCACCCAGGGGGCTCCCAGTGCCGTGGTGGCTGTGGGTTGCACAGACTGCTGCTATATTTTAAACTGAGCTTTACTGGTGCTTGCTTGCAGTTTCACTGGAAAGGATCTTGGCTTTTGACCAATTACAGGAGAACACAGGAGCTTAGCGACCTCTTGCACTAATTGCTGAGTGGGGATTTACTTACACGTTTACAGTTCAACCACTTTGACTTAATTCCTTCTTTTAATCTACTCAGACAGCAGATTTCACAGTAAAACCAACGAAACAGTTAAGTCAAAACTGAAATTCCACTTTAATTTTAAAAATAACAAACAGGTGAGTTACAGTAGAAATGTTATTTTTGAAGCCTCAGTCACGTAATAGCACCAAGTGGGGATAAAAACCGCAAGGGCTAATCACCGTACGGGTGGAGATCTCACCTTTCTTCAGCTCGAATGACCAACAAATAAGGGAAATATCAGAGGAACGGACAGGAGTTTCACTTTTATCTGGATAGTAAAAAGAAAAAAACAAACCAAAAATACAGTTTTTGTATAGAATATTCAGCCCTTCCAGATGAGTCAAAGAGGCAAGGAATTTTTTTGTGTGTTCTTTCAATTCTTCTTTTAAATATTAGAAATGCATCATCATGAAATGCAACAATTTGTGGTTTAATCCGGATCAATACACAGCTGTTAACATGCATTAGAAGGAAAACCAGCGGTGTTAGGCTATTGTGCACTGCTGCCTTTCTTTTTCATCCAGTTGACTCCTTTAATCTTCAGGATCTTTTTCCTTTTAAAGGGAGGAGTTCGTTGTATGGCTTTATTCCCTTAATTTAAATTTTAAAAAAATTTAATTAAATTCTTTTGCCCTTGGGCTGAAAGCATACTTTGCCAGATCTCAACGACTCATTCCTCTGTGGCTTCTCAGGTCGGGCGGTTACTGTAAGTCACAAAGCTCTGAATGCTCAAAACAGGGCTGTGTAATATTAACACATTGAGTCTTCCCTGTATTGCTGTACAAATGCAGGTCTTTACTCTCCTGTTCCTTCCATTTAAAAAATGTTATCCTGTGTTATGAGGCAGTAATTTAAAACCTAGGCCATTTGCAGAACGAAGTGCATGAAAATGTGCTTGGGTAAAGTGCTTTTCAGCTGTGCAGCCGTTTTCTGATGTACCCATTGTGAAGCACAGTGTGAATAACACACACTCATGCAGCAGAAATACCCATTTTTCCTTTTTTTCCCCTCCCAGATGAGAGTGACGTCAGATAAATCTTTGAGACTTGTGCTTTCCACTTTCAAAAATCTGCGAGAAGAGCTTTGCCATTTGCAGGATGACTTGGGGGTAAGTTGTGTCCTTCAGTTCCCTTGGCCTCATCCGCTCGGTTTTACTGGAACCTGCACCGGGTTCTCTTGTAAAAGGCCAAGTTCAGGGAGGGGCGAGGGCGTTCTGTCGTCTTTAACACAGAACAAGGAGTCTCTGCAGTGCAGTGGGCTTGGGTTTGGGGGTTTGTTGGTTTGTGTTTAGTAACCATGAATAATACAGACTGAAAGAGCAGGGTCCAGGACCCCAGTATTTACTGCACAGTGCAGAGCCACAGGTGCTACAGTGATGGGCAACTGTGCGCTGTGTAGTTAAAAACCCATGGTTTGGAGAAAATTGAGCACTGGAAGCCTCGGTTCCAACACATCACCTACTCGGTATGATGCACTCTGAATATGGGCGAAGTGAAGTCCAGAATTGCAGCTATTGACTGGGATTTCTTTTGTGTTACAGAAGTTAGAAACCGACAGTGTCTTACTTAAGAAGGACTTGGCTTTTAAAGATTCTCAAGTAAAAGAATATGAAACTATGTTGGCTTCTCTGAGAGAGAATAATCGTCAGCAGCAGGTAAAGCTAAAAACCTCTTTTCAGTCTAATTACGGTCAGCCAAAAGCTGGCCCCCGTGCTGACTCTGGAGTTCTCCGAGCAAGCCCTGCCTGGTCTATGTTTGCGCGCGTGTGATCCTGCTGCTTCCGTAAGGAACACGGTGCATTCACTCCACTTCTCTGCCTTCCAGCAAGGACTCAGAGAGAGCACTGCAAAATGTCGCTCCCTGGAAGAGCAGCTCCTCTCCCTTCGGCTCAGTGAGGGAGAAAAGGAGTGTCAGCTGAAGGAGCTGGAGTACGGCAAGCGTGCCTTGGAGCAAGAGCTCCAGAGCCTCAGGCTACAGGTAACGGGCTCACTTGCTCTGTGTCCCATAGCTGCGTTAATGATACAACTGCAGTAATGGATGAAAATTAAGGATGAAAACTCCCGTTTTACAATTTAAAAATCAATTTTCTGCAGACCTGCTCTAATCCAACGCTGCAGACCACCACAGATGAACTCTCTAGCCGTTACGTAGAGATGATCAATAACTTGAGAGAGGATAAAGATCGTGAGATCCGCAGTCTCAGGGTAAGCTGATGAACTCCGTGCGGGTCTACTCCTCCCCCTGCACACCTGCAGGTACACAGCTGCTCTTTAAATTAAGGAACAGCAAAGATCCTACCAGATGCACTTTTTAGACATCTTTTGGTTCTGCAATTCCTTTATACACGACACTAAGGATGGCTCAGAAACCCTTATGGGAGAATGTAAAACTGTGATTTAAAAGAAATACAATTCCCGAGATGTAGACGTTAGGGATTAATGGGATTAGCAGCTTTTCCTTAAGGGGTATTTTGTGTGTCCTGGTAACTAAGAAACTAGCCAAGAGACACCCAGCAGAACTAAAGGTAAGTAAGTCAGTCCCAGTCAAAACTACACCTAGGAAACATCTCCCATGTAGAGCGCTGTAGTAATACTTTACCACCCTGGAAGCCTGTCCAACTTGTTCAGTGTTGCATTCGCTTTATCGCACTATGAACTCATTGAATTGGATGGAATGCTACCAGTATCAATTAGCACTTTCTGATTTACTGTGCCGCTCAGCATTCTTACTTGAAAATCCTCAGGGTTTGTGTACGTCCATGTTTGTGCGTAAGTAAGTCCACAGCGTTTTCTAAATTACACTAATCCAAACCTTAATGTTTGTAAATTAATGAAAAAAAAATCCATCTCAAGTCCTGGATACACAAACTGAAGGGTCACCGGCGAGCACCAAACCCTAACTGTTCCTTAATGCGTGTTTTACAGTCTCAATTATGCCAATTCCAGCAAGACATATCAAGGAGAGACGGAAGTAACAGTGACTTGCAGATAAGGCTGCAAGAACTGATGTCGACGCTGGAGGAGAAAGATGCTTTTATTAAACAACAGCAAGAGGTAAAATAATACAACAACTGATTTCTCTTCTAAGAATCTGTATTTTTAAGCCTCCACTTACTGTGAGGGTGGGAACTTGGCAGTCACTTGGACTCTCCTGATCCAGGGATCAGGGTTAGGAGTTTTTTTAACTGAACACTCTTCCTCTACCAGTCTTTTGGAAGGTCAGACTTTGTCAGACTGAGAGGAATTTCTGCAAATATTTTGTTGTGACTTTAGTGGACTAGTACTTCAGAAAACATTATTTCATTTGCATGTTTACTTTTGGTTTTCTCAGGACCTCTTCAGATTGAAGCATGAGAAATTATCAGGCAGTCAGTCCCCTGGTGTAACAGCCATCATCACTAAGAAGTAATGTCATTATTCACCTTTCTTAACAATGCATCCTTTTGCTTTTCCATTGCATAGCCTCTGTTAGCCAAGTTATTCCTGCACATGTCTCAATATCGCCTGTTCAACTGCAAGGGGAAAAAGTCGAGGCAGGTTTTCCTATCTGGGGAGGATTTGCTACTAAGCCTTGCAAGAGCAGTTGGAGGGGTGGCCAGCGCGTTCAAGTGACATTTAAATGACTTGAATCAGTTTCTTAGTTATGGGAGCGAATCTTTGGGCGTTAGTGACTGGATGGCCTATGTGGCATGATCAGTCAGCGACTGGGCTACAGGCGTGCAGAGCTCAGTTCACACGTTTGCAACTCCCTTTACTACAGGTATAGGAATCAGTATCCTATTCTGGGTCTGCTGTCTGATGACTACAAGGTTACATCGCCTGTCAATAAATCACAAACTATTGTAATTGAGAGGACCGGAGAGATATGGAAACATGTAAGTGTACCTACAGATGGACTATACAGTCTCTGAAACTCCTAAGTGTTCAGTTTAACTTCAAAGACAGTATTAGCCAAAACTGACATCTGAGAAAGCCACAGTGTTAATTTAACTTGGCCACAAAAAGCAAAAAGCGCCTGATGAAAGTCAAGGAACTCTATGGGCTATTGCAAGAAGGCAGTAATTGTTGGGTGGAGTATAAATAAAATAACCTTTCATTGTTTCCTCTGACACATAATTACCTTTAACCAAACAAGAGGCGTTGCTCAGCACCGGCCTCTGCCCTCTCGCAGACGGCGCTCTCCGGGCATCGCTGTACCCCTCGGTAGGAACTTCCTCGTGTTGTGCTCCCGGGCGCCGGAGCGCTCTGGGTGGGCAGCGTTCCCTGAGTCACCGCCATTCATGACTCCAAGCTCTTGCCAAGTCTGGGTGCAAGGTAAAGGCGTGAGAAGGGTCAGCGCGGCCAGTTCACAGCCACGTGTTCCCAAGGGCGGGACGTGGTGCCCCTGGCTGCAGGGTACGGCAGAGCAGCTTGGCGGGGACACATGCCCAAGAAAAAGACAATGATGTGAGCAGCCTGAGTAGAGAAAGGGTAAAGCATCCAAAATGTTCTAAAAGGGGATGTTAGCTGGGGTAGGATTAAGAAAATAAAAGGTAGAGCTCACTGGCAACAGCAGAGTTTTTATTACCGATCTCTCAAACTCATCTGGTTGCATTGCGACCCAGTGAAATGTCAAGGAATTAAACAGTAATAAAGAAATTGCAAAAATAAAGCCAACACCCCCCTCCTTGCCTCCTACCTTCCTTAAAAAGTTACTCATACTTTCCATTATAAAAAAATAACAAGATTACTGTCTTTCAAGCAATGATTAATTTGTCATGCTCAGTCCTTCGGGATACTCGAAGTACTTAAACATTCCTTTTAACATTGAGCCCAGTTATATTAGAGAACACTTTTAGGGTAGAAATTTGGTAATAGCTACTATTTAGGTATCTGGACTTCCTGTTCTTGGTTGTTTTCGTAAGTACAAAAAAAAAAAAAAAAATACTGTGCCTGGTTTTGTGTTTACTGGAGACAGAAATTGTGCCAGTTTCGACATCTGCCCCTTGCTGAACAAAACCATCTACAGTTTAATGGTACGGCTGTGGCCCTGCCAGTACCGCCCGCCGTCGGCATCTGGGAAGGCGGGAAGGCTCACTGGCCACTGGAGGCGCTTTCCAAGTCAGGCTGCTAGAGACAATAAATAGGTGATTGAAGGAGGCATAGCTTTCTGTACCAGACAGGTTTGGCTTATATTCAAAAATAAATGTTTTTTTCTAACAAGCTGCTTTTTTCTTTCAGGAATGAAAGAAATCCCGAAGCCATCAGAAGCTGCTCAAAGGAGTTCACAACTAAAATTACTTAACTTTCTGCTATTTTGCATCAGAAAAAGGTTTGGTCTGACAGTGAGAGAGGCTGGGGAACACCCTGAGGACATGGAAGCACAAAGATGATGGAAAACACCGTCTCACCCTCAGCATGAAGAACTCGGTCACCTGTGCCCCTAACACCAGTGCACAAGCCTTACTTGTACTTTTTCACGCACTTACTTTTGGCTCTGGAAAGCGCCGTGCTTTTGCGGACTTCATTTTTTCTTGACATGGCTTAACTTCTGTTCTTCAGCCAGTCCTGAAGCAACCTGAGAGACAAAGGAAGACGTCTGAAACCTTTTCCCCTTGGCACTCTTAGCCATGTTCTTCTGCTCTATCTACGCGTGCTGAGAGGTGAGGATGATACAAACTGAAGTCCCATACGTACCGAGTGCTGGTTTCGATACCGACAGAGTCACAGGCTGCCATTTCATCTGCTGCTGCCTATCGAAGATGAAGCAAACCCCAGAAACAACCTTCACGGGGAACTTTAAAACCACCTCGCTGAAAACGGCTTACTTTCCATCTGCTGGTGTGCGGGAAGCTAAAGCACAAGAGAATTTCCTAACTTACTCCAGACATGCGCTGCCTCAAACAGCTGCTGAACTGGCAATCACAGAGTTACCTGGCTCAGGGAAGTGACTGGGGAAATGCTCATTTTAAAGAATGTTGTTGGCCTCACAGTTGATGTACTTCCAGCTGAACCTTCATAAGCCCCCAACCCCACCATAAGTATTTACCTGCTGTGCTCGAAAATTTCAAGAACTTGGGTGTATTTTTACATAGAAGAACTTAGTATGAAAATAGCTCGTAGACTAGATGTCATTATCAGACCAACCTGCCATTTACAGTTTTTGCTCCTCGCAGGACCACAGAAATTCTCTCAAAATGATTTGGTGTTAGTAATTACGTAGTTGTCTAAGCAACACAGGGGGGAGAATCGTAGGGGAAATTTTAAACTATGCGGTCAAAAGGTGCAGGCTCTCTATCATGGGGTTCTTGCTTTGCTCTGTTTCTGCAGACATATATATTTCTATTCACAAATAATATAGACAATGTTTAATGGTGAAAGATCACTGTAGGCTATGTGTAACTATGAAATAAACCAAATGGAACTTTCTGAATCCTGTCTGTCTGTACTGGAAAACTCTCGCATCTCCCTGACGGGCTGGAGGGGGTTGTTGCGGGTGCCGCATTTTTTTTTTTTTTTTTTTTTTTTTAGACTACTTATTCCTCTAAATGCATCTTCCCAAGTGAAGGAATAGTGGGAGGGCCCTTTTCTGGCTACTGCTGCCAGTCCTCCACTCACTCAGTGCTGGGACCTCAAAGATGACCTCATGCTCTTCCTAACGGGGAGAGCGCGCCAAGGGCAGACCTGCTGATGTCACGGCGCTGCCCCGTGAGCGTGCCCAGCCCAAGCCTGTGGTTCCAGCAGCCAGGGAAGAGTTTGCACCATCAAAGGACACTCACCTTAGCCCAGCTCTATAGCCAGAGGTTTTAGATAAAAATTAAATATCCTCATAATTTGAATGAGGAGTGCCTTGCCCCCTGAAATCAGTAATTATTAGATTCTAAAATACCCGCCTTGCTTCTGTGTAGCAGTTAGAGATAAGGTAGATACGCACACAGAGTTAATGACACAGAATTTTGTCAGTGTATTCTATCCCAACAAATAATTGTAGTTACACTGTCACCTAATGACTTTATACCTTTGGTGACCTCAATGATAAAAAGAAATAGAAGAGGAAGAAGAGCACCTTTGTTTAATGCCCTCGTAGCGTGTCTGTGCGTAACTGGGCAGTTACCCTGACTGAAGGAGACACAAACCAATTTGCTGACTTACCGTGCTCTTTGCCGGGCTCTCAGCTGGGCTCCACCAGTCGGACGCACCACAGCAAGGGCTGGGAAGAAGCTACAAACAGCAGACATGCGCGTTACTGATGGCCACACTTCATTACCGCGAGGGCTGTTGGGTATTTACTCCCCCTCCCCTCCAGTAGCACTAACCAGTGGCTGTTTAACCCTGTCTGACTGAAGGCCATGTAACAGCGCGATGAAAGCAGGCAATGCCAACACGCAGGCTCTGAATGCAGTCAGAGCTGGTGGGTGTGGGGTTACAACTTCATGACAAAAAGGCCATGATTAGGCAAATGATCTGTTTTGCATATAGAGCTGGCAGGATGACACAGTCTGAAAACACCCTGACTGTTCCCCATGCTTGACAGGCCAGGTATCATACACACTATTTAAAAAAAGCCCGGTTTGCTCATCAGGACAGACACCGATGCTGCACTGCACAGCAAGGATCTCCAAGGCTTGTTGGAGTATTTTAAGTATTCGTATGCTGTAAATGCTACAGAGCTGATGGTCCTAACACCATGTTTTACTCACAGATAACAGGAAGCAATAGATACTTGTCAAAAAGCTGAATTAGACTAGTAGATGAAGTGTAATGGCCATCTGGGGGTGGTTTTGTTTTCCAACCAGATTTATTTAAAAAGCAAATTTAGTATTTTTTATTATAAAAGTATGTTTTATTTGCTGTAGTCTCAACTACTGCATCTTTCCTGTTGAACTGAAACTGATTTGCCTGACATTATTTCTGCTGGGGTTTACAGAAACACAGTTTTCTCACGTACTCCTCTCTGTAAATGCTAGTTATCACCCTAATTAGCAACAGTATACTTAATTTTTCACCTCAATTTCAGGTAGGTCCACTAAGACATCTACATTTTTTCAGGAACAAATTAGAAAAATCAAAGACAGCATTTACTTCATATATTTACAACAATATACATACCGCCCGTCAGCCTGTCTTTATCAATGGCGTTATTAAATAAATCCTCGCTTCTTGTTCTTACACTGAAGAGCAGGAGAAAACTGCTTTCTGGTTTCTATTACTGACTCTCCCACACAACTCGGCGTGCAATATGGGACAGTTTCTCTGCCTCAGCTGGAAAACAAAAGCCAAATAGGGCCCTGGTTCAAAAGTTACCGACGCCTCTCGCGTTCTGCCTGAGAGTTGATGTAGACTTAGAATACTACGTCAAGGTAACTCACCTTTACGCTGAGAGTACTCTGCTGGTGTTCTGTATTTTCTCCCTTCATTTCATCACCTTGAATTGTGGGCACTTGAAACCTGAAGAAAGAAAAATAGAGGTGATGATCAAGACATGAATCACTTTTCACTGCTCCCGGCTTTTAGGAGTTCTTAGCCTGTCATTCAAATAAAAACCAGCAGTAAACAAATCACATTTTAGAGCAACCCTTCCACACGTTTGTGAAACGCGCAGCTTGCTCAAGCAGCCTGATGTGTTCGTACATCACGTAGAGCACCACAGGAGCAGGCTGAGGAGAAATCAAGCATGGTCAAGAACAGAACTACCTCAACGCTGTGCTCCCAGGTAGCGAACAGCTTTACAGCACCCGCCGCCCTTCCTGTTCCTGTTCCTGTGGAGTGGCATCCCGTCACAAATGCTGGGACAGGTAATTCGCCCTGTGAGTTAGCATCGCTGCAGGGACAGATCTGTAGTAAGCTGACAAGCAGGGACTGTTCTCAACAAACCAGCTCACAGCCCTTACTGAAAATGTGGCAAAAGGCAAGACATCGGTACACTTTGCTAAGGGCAGCACGCATGCACGGGGGATGAGCATGTCTGCCAGAGAATACCTGCAGCAGAACAGAGACCATGCAGCTTCACCACAATGATGGAAAATGATGTTCAGAGTTCAGGACAAGTAAAATATGATACCACACACTTCTATTATCCAACTAAACATTGAAGTCAAAACACTTGAAGGCTTACAGGGGGTAGTGTCTCTTTCACTTGCTTCCTACCACCGCCTGGGAACCCATCTGCTTTGAAAAGGAGTAAGCAGGACCTGCCTGCAGAGCACTTCATCCCCGCCGAAGGGCTCCACCGCTCTGCCGGCTCAGGGGAGGGAGCCAGGCGGGGCAGAAGTACTGGCCATACAGAGCAGGGATCTGCGGAAGCAGCGAGATACAAATTCTACCACGATTTGACAAGAAAGTATTTTTAAAATCATGACACCTCCATGGCAACAATACAACAGCCATCACAAACTCTCTTACAATATTTACTGGGGGAGTGCACTGAAAAGAATCTAGGAACTGTGCCTCAAACTGCTGAGGATTCAGGTGAAATTTTTTTCTTACGTTTCAGAAGATTTAAAATGCCACTTCCTAGTAAAAGCTTCCATCAAGAATACCCACCAACTGCGTGCTTCAATACAGAATTTCAGTTATCTTGGAAACATGGTTGTAGGGAAGGAGGAAAAAAAGGTTCTACCTGAGTCTTATCTCCTGCTGGATGAATACATACACAAGATGTATCTAAGAAGATCCTAAATTATTCAAACACGCACAAAGTAAGAGCATTGCACGCAATACCACTTCCTCTCAGGGTTCTCTTTGTCTAGCAGGCACGTTCCTCTATTTCCTTTCTCTAACCCCGACTTCTGTGTCCTTTCCTCCACAGTCCCAATGTCACACCTGCAGCACATCGCACAGGCCTTTTCTTTTGATTCCTTCCTCCCTCCATCCATCACAACTTTTTGGTTTTTTAACCACCAGAGCCCTCCTACATCTTCAATCCCCTCCTTTGCCTATTCACCAGCCAGCTTGGACACAGTTACAAGAAGTTTGGACAGTTACAAGAAGCTTCGACGCCCACAGCTACACAGAAAGACGTCAAGGGGACAGAAGCATTGGTGGGAATTGCAAACTACAGAACAAAACATGAAGTCCAGCCTTAGTCACAACCATGTAAGCAGCACTGGACAGAACCAGTAAAGGGCCAAGCAGAAGCACACATTCTCCCAGTGGAAGATGTCAAGGGGACAGAAGCATTGGTGAGAATTGCAAACTATAGAACAAAACATGAAGTCCAGCCTTAGTCACAAACATGTAAGCAGCACTGGACAGAACCAGCAAAGGGCCAAGCAGAAGCACACATTCTCCCAGTGGTATCATAAACTACTGAATTTTAAGCCACTGCTCAAGCAAAAAGTCTGACAAACTCATTTTTTTTTTAAACTGTTTCAAATTTAAGAACATATGGGTAGTAATCCATTAACCTTAACACTGTGCGGGTAGAGTCTCAAGGCTTTTCCTCTCTTTGACAGACCTTGTTTCCACAGTCCTCCGTCTTGTCTAGGTTTCACTGTCCATTTGCTGCGAAGAGGAGACAAACAATTAATATAAAGAAACGTTCAAAATGCTAACGCAAGAAGCCAACCTAAGAGAAGTGGTAACTCAGCTTGACACTTCACACTGGACAAGGCTGCCTGTACCCATCCTGCTAAGTTTGACAACTCCGTTTTTCCACCTACCCACCGCAAAAAGCAGGGCTCACACACAGAAGTCTCTACTAGTCTGCACCCACCTCAAGTCCTGCGCACCGTCCCGTATTTGTACCTTAGTCGATAATAACCAACTACAGTTGCCATTTTCCCAACTGTTATTCCCTCCCTCACATCTTGAAAAACATGTTCCTCACAGACTTTAATGTTCCTAAAGGTTTGACCTTTTTTTCCCCCCAATTAAAAGGAAATCTCACTAGGCTGGACTTACAGCCTGTTAAACCTCAACACCAGTTTCAACTTCTGTAATACAAAGTTAAGGAACTTAATTATTCTATAATATAATGATGAAAATGAATTCAACTTTTATCCAGCATCCACCATATACTTTCTGACTTCATCAAATATATAAAAAAAAATAAATTGTGTGCCCTTTACAGTAGTTTTAGGGCAAGAAAAGCCTAGTTGCAATAGAAAATCTAAGTAATGAAACCGATGCCCCACAGTGCAGCACAGAGGGTACCACCACCGACTCTGAACTGGACAACCAAACTAACCAACAATCTTACACTAACAACTGTTCATCACAAAAGAATTAACCCACATAGGTGATTTTACACTATCACATACGTGAAGGTCAAAGCCTTTCACTGCACTCCTTGGAAGATACACTACTGTTGTCCTCAAACATACATTGTAAAATGTAAACGTCAATACAGTCCACCGCTACATACCAGGTATGAATAAGAAAAGGTGTCGAAACATGATCCGAATGCAATGCTTAAAAGCATTACGTCCAGATTTCACACCGCTGTCTAAAACGCTGGCTCTCCTGAAGTTCCATTTCTGTCATTTCTAGCCCCTACGTCCTGTTCTCTACCCCATGACCTGTGATGGACTCGGGCAATCTGGGATTCAGTCTTTCTACAAAGTTGGCTATAGAGAATGTTCAAAATACTCAAGTACCTGATTATTCCGTCCATCTGTAAGGTGGAAAAATGAGCCAGCACGGATGTGTGCTTTGCCACAGAGTCAGAACGATCATCTTCAGTCTGCTATGAAGAAACTCCTTCAGTCTATGTATTCAACATAATGTTCAGGAATAAAGCATTAAAATTGTCAAAACCCCACAACTTTAATCTCTAAGATCTTTTGGAATGCTACAGCATCCTCCTTTGACTGCTGGGCATACAAAAAAATGAGTATGAACAAAACCAGATTAATAGGTTCACGTCTGCATGATTTCTGGTTTTTAGTACAAAACCTACGAGTTCACTGGCTAACAGCCCGCTGCAAATCCTTGATGAAGAGTTCGTGTAATATCGCACTCTCTTCTTCAAGTTTTTAGTCTAATACTGATGCCATAATTCAAGTATTCTAAAAAGAGAGGGAAATTAAGATAGCAATATTTTTAGTATTTCGTTTTGCAAGCTGTTCTTACTATGCAGATAGAAAGACAAGACCTACCTGGCTTTTCCCAAAATATGTGAGAAGTTTTATGTTCTCTTTACTTAAAGGAAAAAATGTCAAAGGAATGTCAGTATCGCACTCGATAATTATTTTAGAAATAAGCACAAATACATTACCTGTAACTTTAAAGGGTTAGACAAATAAAACCCCAATACTCTCCCCTCAATAGACTGACACATATACCTCAAGTTAGCTGTTCACCTGAAATGTCATTACATATTAATTAGTGAATAATATAATTAAAAATATTAGGCAAAATTACACAGAATGAGACTTTCCTAAACACCATAAATGAAAAGCAAACTCCAAAAAATTTGGAGTGCAAGAGATGCGTTTTATTGTATGCCCGTTACGATGAGTAACACATTTAGAAATAATAATCCCACATAACAGTGACAATCTTATTTTACAGCGTGTACATCATTTTTACAGCCACATAAAACACGTATTTTTCTAAGAGATTTCCCAAATTTAACTTTCTGAAGTTTAGAAATATAAAAAAAATTTATTCTCAAGGAACTGATTCTCATCTGGTGCAAAAACAAAATATGAACATTATCTGAAACACAAAGCCACAATATAGCATGAAGTTACAATTTATCATGTGAACAGCTGTGTGCAAACATGAAGCAACTAAAAAAGTAAAAAATACACATTATATGCGTAACATTTATGAACAGGTTTTTCATTAAATAGCCCTAGACCAGCTTGTTATATTAAGCGCCATTTGATTTGCAGCATGCTAACACAAAGCATTGTTTAAAGGGATGCATATTTTAAATGTATACACTGTAAACTGAAGATCCACCTCCAAACTCTAGTGGCAGCATATTTTTCTGGTTAAATACTGCATATATACTTTCTTACAAATTGAAAATGCATGTTTATAGCATGGTATAGATTTTTTTAAAGAATTAATTAAAAGGTGCAATTTTATGTCTACATTGAAAATTTCATATTAGCAGGTAGGACAGTAATAGTCATACCCATTAGGAACACTGTCCTAAAGAACTTCTAAGTACTCTGAATTTTAATTAAAAAAAAAGGTACATTTTTCAACTTGGTTTTTAATATTCTTTTTAGAGAAGATTTCAAAGTAGCGAGAAAAAAAAATAGTGTTGAGTCACAACACTATGAGCTGCATCCATTTTATCCTTAAAAAAAAAAAAAGTCAAATTCAAAGTTAATTTTTTTATGTGCCATACTGAACAACATTCAACTGCAGTTTCAGATAAAAAAGGGAAATTATATACAGACACATCTTTAACCCTAGCACCAGAACACCACCTTTGAGATCATAACATAATGCTATATTTTAAACATCATATCCTGCAATAAAATAGGTTAGCAGCTTTGAAAACCATTAAAAAATTACTCATTGGACCTAAACTAATAAAGGAAACGAAAAAGTTTCCCAATGAAATGTTTGAAGGGGGAAAAAAAAAAAAAAAAAAAAAAAGGGACAACCCCCCAGATTTGACCAGTTCTGGAATTTAATTTCCAGGCACGATTTAAAAACGTTATGCTCAAGTGACTGACAATACTCTCCTTTCAAACTGCACAAGAAGTTAAGACTCGGTTGCCTTTGCAAACAATTTGTAATTAACCCCACCATATATCTGAACTGTTTTCATATTGGAGACAAATGCTGTTACTGACAAAATGGATAACACAATCACCTTCGTTTTGTCTTCTATAGCTTAACAACGTGTAATACTATTAATTTTGAAGACATTCATCCATCTTTCTGCAAATTTAAGACATTCATCCATCCTTCTGCATTCTATAGTGCTCTTTAGGTTCTGATAAGCAACAATCATAGGGCTATGAGATCCCCTGTCAACCCTAATACTTTTAAGACTTTTAATACAAAGAATGTAAAGTTATGATTTAATATCAAGCTTTGAAACCAGGAGAAACAGTTCATGAGATTTTTTTTTTTTCCCCAATTAGCATATCACAGTTTCTAAATTGCTTCCTTCTCCAGATCATATATTACATTATGGCCTCTTTGTGGTGCCTCATTATATGCTGATTTTTTTCGGATGGTCTACGGAATCCCTTTTTGCAATACTCACACCTATGTGGATAGTCTTTTGTGTGTATTGATATTACGTGCCGTTTAAAGCCTGATGCATCCGTAGTGCTATATTCACAATACTGGCATTGATAAACTTTTCTTCCACTGTGGGTCTTCATGTGCTTCTTAAGTTCATTCTGCTGCCTAAATCCTCTTTTACATCTTTTGCATTTAAAAGGCAGGTCCTTGGTGTGAACTGAGAGGATATGCCCACTAAGTACAAAAGGATCTGATGTTTTAAAGTCACAGTGTCTACACTGATGTATCTTTTTACCTTTATGGGTTTCACTATGCTTTTTGAGCTCAGATGGACGATGGAAGCCTTTTTCACATACCTCGCATTTGTGGGGAAAATCCTTTGTGTGAACTGAAATAATGTGTCGCTTCAGGTCACTTGAATTGGTGCTCTTATGGTCACAATGTGGACACTGATGAGTCTTATGCCCTTGAAATAATTCTGTGTGCTGCTGCAGTTCTTTTTCGTCTGTAAACGCCTGGGGACAGTGCTCACATTTAAATGGCAAATCAGTCCCGTGTTTGGTTTTGATGTGAGTTTTCAGATTGGACTGATCAGCACACCTGAAGACACAGTGCTGACACTGGTATGGCTTTTCCCCAGTGTGGGTCCTCATATGCTTTTTCAGCTCTGACGGGTGACGGAATCCTTTCCCACACTCCACACACACATGAGGAAAGTTCTTACTGTGAACTGCAAGCAGATGTCTATTGAGTAGTCCCTGCTCTGCAGTTTCATAGTCACAATATTTGCACTTGTGTAGCTTAGGCTCCTTGTCCCTCAGTATTAATTTATTAGAACTCAACGGGCTTGCTTCTCTGTATCTTCTTGTATATTCTGTAAACTCATGGGTTTTATCAACTTTATTTATAAGTTTATGGCTTTCCAGATGATTGTGGAAACTTACTTTTTTGTTAGTTGTAAAGTCACAGTCTGTACACTGGTATTTCTTCTTAATCATATGATCTGGATGATTCTTCATATGCCTTTTCAAGAATCCTCTGGATTTAAATTTTTTCCCACAAATATGACAAGGGTAAACTGTTAAGGGCTGTCCATCAGGACCTATTATAACAGCTGTTTTTAAACAAATAAAAACAAGTTATGAAGGAAACAAATTTACGGATTAAGAAGTTTTTAAATCAGCCAACTGCTGTTCAGATTCATGCACTTACACTTGCAGCAGAGAGAGAATGGTTCAGTAGTTTAAAAACAACCAATCCACAGCACCTATATTTTATATAGTTTTGTTTTAGAAACTGCTTAAACAGATCAGTAATATCATATGTGCAGCAAATATATCCATGATTACATGCTTATCCAGCTCACAAAATTCAAATGAATTGCATCAGCCCTAAGTGCATCGACTTCGAATAGCAAAAGTTATCACATTTTCTATGCACAGAATTGGAGGGGGGAAGGACACAGGAAATACGCAAATCGTCATTTGTATTTTTTAATTCTGCATCAGCTTAACAAAAAAAAAAAGAAAAGGAATAGTACAGGCGGAAGTGCCACGCCATGACAATACGCATAACCATACAGTGTTTACCTGTTTGCCATTGCCTGGCCTCTCCTCTCCTCCTTTTCTTGGTTTTTTGTTTTAGCACTCTATTAGTGCTAATACTATCACAAATCTGCAGGTATTGTGTTGCATTACCGTTTTTGTTTTCTAATCGTGTATCCAAGTTATTTCCTAGAAACAAAAATTAGACACCATAAAAAACCTTAAACAACTTTTTCCTTTGGGACTGATGACTGGAATTGCACAGCAGCATTATCTACTTTTTAAAAAAAAATATTGCCCGTTTCTCTACAATGAATGTGAAGAAGCGTGCCAATATAAAGCGCTATCTGTCTTTGCTGGCAAAAGTCAAGAACACAATCGTTTAAACCGATTGATTTTCAAGTATATTCCTTGATTTCTCATACTTATCAAGACATTAATCTCTTAAGAGTTATGCTAGTTGTTTCCTTTTATTTATCTTGGTGTTACTTCTTAACAACTGCATTATCTCTTTTCTGTCTACAAAACTGTATTAAAAATCCTGGCAGATCCTCCCAACTTCCCCACCCCCTCTGGAGGCCTACAACATAGCTAGAATTGTTTTCATTTCAAAATAGTAAAGAAAGACCGTGCAGTCCTTCGATATATACTTTAGGGATAATTTTGGCATTCACTGATTAGGAGAACTGACACCTGAATGTATCTATTTTCAAAGACAGCAAGTCAGCTGTAATGCTGTACCAAGGACAGTTACGTGTTCTTACCTGCCGCTTGACCATCTTCGTATCTTCTGGGTAGCCTTCTTTCATCTCCTGCAGAAAATGGTATTTTAGTCATTATAAATCAAAATTCTTTTTAAAGACGATGGCTTTGAATGTCTGATAATGAGAGAAAACTAATTTAGCTAATTAAGTAACAGCTTAACTCTATCTGAACTGAGATGCACAGTTCACAACCAGGGCAGCGTTTTACAATTATGAGACCCAGGAAATAAAAACACATCTTTGTGAACAGTGAATATTCACTAAAGCTGCGATTGCATGCTTACCACGCTGACTATTTTTCCTGCTTTTCATAATTAATATGCTTTTTCTGCAATCTTTTAACCTCATATGTAACCTCAGATACCAATCCAGAAACGAGATTATCTGAAATCCACAATTTGTTCTTGAGATCGAAGTACTTTATCTTTCTGTACCTTATCAGCCACTCAGCACTCATCTGTATGAGGCACTACAAAGTTCTGGGAGATGGAGAAGTAACACCTTAGGAGTATATTCCTCATTTTGGATTGAAAGTGTTTACTGCTATGTGCCAAGGCTCTGTGGTTCTAAACCACTTTACCAGCCCAACTATTGTGCCCAGAAATATTACATCAATTAATTTTAACTGACTTGTTTACTTAATTGCCACATAAGCTTAATTACAGCATAAACCATGGATAACCTGATACCCTCTTAATATACATTTAACATGCCAAAATCTGAGAGAAGAATATGAGATAACAGAATATTCAGAATTCGCAATATATCCTGTAAGACACTTCTACTATTTGAAGCATGGCTGCAGAGAGAAAATTATCTTTTTTCTTTATGTTTCTAACCTGAAGGACTAGGACCAACATTAGCTTAGAACAGGTATATAAACTGAAATTAGGAACATGTTTACACATTTATTCCTACAACTCCCTTGTAAAGTTAGTTCCCCTTCCTCTTAGCTAATGTAAAATACTTAAGGCTATTCTTGTTTTTGTAAGATCTTCAACAGCCAACTTAAACAACCATTAAAAACCACACATTCTGTAAATCTGAGCTGGAACCAAGAACAGTATAAAAATTCTCCTGACTGCTTTCCTTTCTACTTCATAAAACTCAACATATAGCAATCCATTCATTATATGCAAGACAATCAACTACTAAAGTAACCTCTAACGGTTTGACGGGCCAGCACTGGAAAAAATGTAAAAATGGCATTATTTTCTTCATATTGAACTACAAACAAGCTAAGGACTTTACGTGTAAAAGGTCACGAATGATGTCAACATAGTTTTTCACATTATGTAATCAACTCTACTAACTGACACAGGTAAAAGATCAGAAGGAGCTGTTTCCACACCCCTGGGGAAAGGGGAGAGATTTGCACAGAGATTCTGTGAAGCTAGATTAGGGAGAAAATAATGGAAGGGATTTTCGGAAAATAAGCATACAGATTCCTACCGTAAGCAGCAGCCCAAGCAACAGGGACAAAAGTTTTATTCACGCCAGAGTCTTCAAGCTGCGTGTCTGGAAGTGATGTAGCTTCTTCTTCACCTACAATAACTTCCATATAAACTTCATCTGCTATTTCAGCACAGCCTGGATTAAGGGAGAAGAATAATTCTTTAATTTTATTCTGCTCATCCTAACTTTTCCTTCATTTAGTTTGCTCTCACTCTGATCGATACCCATTATAAATTACTTTTCTTCCTTTGGCATTTAGAACCACCCCTTCCCTTAGGGGATCATTGTTTATTCAGACATTCCTTAAAGAGAGAAAACACGTATGAATAAATATAAATCCAAAATAAATACCAACATAAATTCAAATATACAAACTTAGAAACTTTTAACTGATGACATTTATTTGCCACTTTGCCAGAAAGCTGTTTAAACAAGGCAATTCACAGTAGGAAAACAGAAAAATGAGAAATTTGACTAACCTCATTAACTTCATCCATGGACATGTTAAATTTAATATAAATAATGAAATGATTGCATACAGTATGCACAAAGTGCATTTATCCACATCACTTTAAAATAATTATAGCCTGCTCTTTATTTTTAGGGAAGATGAGCTTAGTTTTCTACTACTTCAGGCTGAAGAATCCTTCAGAAAAATTAAAAAAGTCCTTGAGAATGATGTTTATATTGTTGTACAAAACAGCATGAGAAACAAAAATGTTTCTTATTATGCTTACTAATATCTTCATCTTCCTGAGAAGAGTCCTTAACAGCCATGTAAACCATTTTTTCTCGCTGCATTCTACCAACACCTCCTTGTTCAATTACTCCAGCTACAGAATGTCCATTGTGAAAGTCACTCTCGGTGACAATTTCTGTCCCACCTTTAACAAAAAGAAGTTAAACACATTAAGTAAATGTAAAAAAAAGCCACTGTTAAAATTAATTTCAGATTTAAGTATTTTTTCTTATTACAACAAACCTATTTCATAAAACTCCCATTAAATGTTTCGATATCTGTGTCGTAAAATCATGCAAGTTTGATACTTTGGGGCAGATAAGGAAAAAGTTCTCCCGGTGTCTCCTGATAAACTCAAGACTGAACAGCCACTGCCCAAGAAGGATCAGGAGCCTTTTATGCCCGCTAGCAGTGAACTCAGGTGTGACTGGAAACATACACCTGCCCATGCCCACCAAAAAAGTAATTCTAACCCTGCCCGGAACACAGCCTTTAATTTCTCTCTTGAGATGTGAACAGCTAATTCTCATCCCTCTTCCTCTCCCAAAATCCTGTTTACTCACTTTGTATAAATGGATTCTTAGATAATTTTTCCTATAACGATTCCAATGCGTTATGTCCCAGACTCATTACACAGGACTGAGTAGTAACTTATACTGCGGTCATGCTTCTCAAACCGTGAGAGAGCAACTGCTACTGCCAATTATTTCACCAAGAAGAACGTTACCTAGAGAGACAGACTAGCAGGGATGTAAAATGCTGCACCAAATCCCTGGAGACAGACAACACAATCCGAAGACTAACAGAAAGAAGGAAATGAGAACAACCGCCCACACAGTCCTGCTCCAGGTGACTAACAAGCTTTGGCCCACTGACTTACTTGAACAGAGGCAAAAGAACAAGTTCCAATCTGGAACTTGATGTTGATGCTTGAGTCAGAGAGAGGTGGCAGATAAATATTGATGCTTAAGCCTTCCATGCATCTCAGGGACTGACCAGTGATGCTGCAGGTTATGGCAGAACAAGCTAACACCTCGCATACCAAGAGTCCTTGTTCACTACTACGAATGGTCCTGATGGAAAATGCTCAGCTGGGGTGGTCTAGTCCAAATGAAATACGTTGATCCATCATTCCCATGTTTCGTAAATGGGAGACTTTGCCACCCAAGCCCATTTTTATAACTTTTGCCAAAAGTGGCTTTGCTGGGACATTTATCCAAGTAACTAGTGTGCAATGCAAATGGATGACATGTAAGAACAGCCCTCCACTCCACCCCCACGTACAAAAAGATCAAGAGAGTACTGCTAATGGGTAAACTTAAATCTTGGCTGTTCTTTGTCAAGACTGTCATCTCAGTTTCTGTACTCCTTAACGCTGAGCAGCAAACGCACATTGTCAACACAGTCAGCTCTTTCCAAGGGGAAGTACTCGCCAGCAATGAACAGGGTAATTTGCCACCTTCCTGGCTGTATCAGAAGCACTGAGAGAACATCCCTGCTGTAAATTAGTTTTCAGCCATAAGAAATTCCAGTTCTTCCTGCTGCTGCGCTAGCAGCCTGTCCCTCGAGACTGACAACCTATCCCCAGAGGAAGAAAACACTTCAAGAGCAGGGCCTGGCAATTCATGTAGGAAGTGGCAGATGAAACAGATGTCACAACAGATAAAGTATGTCAGGATGCTGCTTCTCCAGACCCGTTCCCCATGGTCTCAGAAAGCACATGGTCTTCAGAACCTCTTTCTCATACTTCAAAAGAATTAAGGATCAATTACTGAAAATCCCAGGGCCTTACAGAAATACTCACTAACCTTCAACTGAATCAGGTATTGTCTATTCCAAATAGGACAGTAAAATATGTTAAGCTACTTTGGTAACCTTGTGAAGGACCTGATTAACAGGTGCCAAAATCTACACTGTATCATGCTGCAAAAGATACCGAGCAACTTGTAAGACGGTCTGAACTAATTCTGAACCTACCCTGAGAAGACAGGGAACACCAAAGACAACTGCCCTATTAGCTAGCAGTCTGATCATCCCTGGACCAATCCTTTTCTGCCATTTGAGCTGAAAAGATTACTTGTTTCTCAGAGAAAAAAATTAAAACGCATCGTACAGACAAAAACGTCCTGAAGCTACTTGAAAAACAGCACCAGGACTGTTACTAATTGGAGGACTTTGTTGATCTAATCCACAGTTCCGTCTACAGTTCAAGGTTTTTACAGCATAGCCAGGCCAATGCTACCAGTCTACGGGAGATGATCTCCTTTCTCTACTCCAGGAAGAACAGAGTCAGGCTGATTTGCCCTGTGAATGGCTCTGGGGCTTGGGGCCAGACACGTTCCAGTGAGGCAGTCTCAGTTCCTCCATGCAAAGGGTAAAGTGGGATGAGCCAGAGGTTTCCGATCTGAGAGTAACTGTAAGGGGGACTCTGCTTCTGCACGTGACAAAGAACAGAACATGGGTTAGCTATACGTCCACTTGCAAAGCACCTGGAAGTGTTGGATCTATCCTTTGCAAAAACAGAACTGCAGAGCAATTCTGAGTTTCTTGGTTAGGTCTGGAAATGACTGCATGCCTAAAGCCCCAGCAATCTTCCTCTCTCTCTGCATCAAGGCCACCAAAGACTATTCAATGAGAGGAATCCACTCTAGAGGTTTTTCTGTGCTGACACACAGTCTCGTAACATCACAGAAAAGCAGCAGCTGAGAACCAGCTGCAGACACCCAAACACTTCTACAGTTGGGCTCTGGTTGCCTGAAAATAAATACTGCTAATCAAAAAAGAACTTGAGACTAATACACACCCAGTATTTACCAAATATGGGCAGCCTCCACAAATGTCACATTCTACAAAACATCCCAGTCAGTCGATTACATGAAATTAAGAACAACAAACAAAAAGGCCCTGAAATACTTCATACTACTGGAAGAACGCATAGAATTTAAAAGGTACCTATTTCAACATCATCTTCAGCTTCAGCTTTAAATATGTACACTTTGATGACTTCTGAACCAAAACCGTCATCTTTAGCAACATCATCATTTGTCACCTCAGTACTGATTTTCAAGGGAGTGCTTCCTATATGGTCCAATTTTTCTCCAACATCATCCACTGTAAAGATAAGAGAATAATAATGAGGTCAAACACATTTTTTAAAAGTCAAAGTCATCAGTAGCATGATTTTCTCCACTATTATCCCCATGCATAGTAAAGGTTTGTACTCCTAAATGGCCTTTAGAAAACACTTAATCTCGAGATACTTAAAAGAGATTCCAGAAGTTCAGTACTTGTTTTATTACAACACAGGAAGCACAGCGAGAATTACAGAATGAAGAACACAAGAGGGAGCTTCTCATCAAAGAGAATGTGGTAATCGGTTATGTCTGATACTATTGCCCTTAGAAAGTAAAAACGTATCAGTAAGAAAAATTAAACACCTATCCAAAAATGTTAAAAATTAACCCAGAATTGCCTGTTACAGTCTAAAAGTCCCCAAAAGTTTCACTACTCTAAGAAACTGGTGACTAAAATTTAGTAGCTGAAATTCTTCTGAAGAGTGATGACCGAGTATATTCCCAGTGAAAGAAGCATGCATCAAAAATTTCACTACATCTTCACCCTAAAAGAAATTATGATTTTATTCGTGCTATCACTTGAAACATGTGATTTAATGAAGATTATTGTATACTATCTAGCTGATCAAAAAATGCAGTGAAAATAAATCCAAATACTACTATGTGAAATTGACTTGTCATTCTTCATGTATGCAACTTCATCACTCTGGTTATTTGGTCTGTATATTCAAAATGCTCATTTTATTTATACAACAAAAGTTACATTCAATCTATTAGAAGTGTGGAAGTAGTACTGTTTTGGTAAAAAGGGTATTCACACAGATATCATACATATACCCCAAATTGCCAATACTGAGGCCACTGAACTAAGCATCTTCCTGACATATGTATTGCCAACACACTTCTCTCAGTGGATAAAATTAGCTCCTGTGCAGATGGCCACACAAAACTGTGCAGTGCTTAACACCCACTGAAGTCCTCTAAATAGAGAACAATTCCACAAAATGTAAACAAAATCTGAATTTAATACCCTCCAGGGAAATTGCGATTTACTGCATATATAACATCAAAATACGTGCATACTAGGTAAAAAAAAAAAAAAAAAAAAAAATCATTAAAAATGTGCATACTAGGTAAAAAAAAAAAAAAAATCACTAAAATTAGTATTAAAGTGAGTGCAGTGTTTCATGACTAAGAACAGGGTCCGCTCGGTGGGGCCAGCGAGGGCTCTGAGGAGAGGCTGGCTTACCTCGGGATGGCTGCCGTGGTTCCCGATCCCTCTCTAAGGTGCCTGCTCTTGAAGAGCTGCTTTTAACGACTTCAGGCCACGGCCTGGCGTACTGCGGTAACCTGGAGTTAGCTTAAGCTTTTCTTAATACTCCAGGCAGTCATGCGAGGTGGTTCAGAACCTGCTAGAAAAGGAGGAGATGCCTCTCCTGCAGCAGGGTGGGAATCCACCACAGCAATCCCAAGCTAAGCTCTTCCCACTCACGGACAGGATTCCACGGAAACCCCTATCCAGCTAACACAGTTTTTCATCCCCACATTGAGGAACCTTATTTCTATTTCACAAATCTTGGACTGCATCGAGAGAGTGTAGATGTTACTGAGGACAGAACTAGATATAATGTAGGTAAGTGCAAGTAAGTATTTGATTTCATTTTAGAACCTCTGAGAATTATGTATTTTGATGAATACGAAACAGGAAACATTTAAAAAATGATATGTTTTAGCGGTTTCTTTTTCTAAATAGATTGATTGCATTTCTGAAAAAAGTATCAAACTTGGATCAGTAGCAAACCCAAAAATTTCCTCAGGAAACGTGTTTTTGTTTTTTAATTAAAAACATTCTAAATCTCTATTAAAATTGATACCAGCAACATCAACACCTTAATCTGTTAAAATCTGACTGCATGGCGTTCACGTTACCCTGCAGGACAATGAGAACATCATGAGTATGAACACCACAGGTGAGAAAGCCTCAACAGAGAACCTGGCGATTGCCTTTGGCACTTAACTTTACCGGCATCAGGTTATTCGTACATCTTTACATCCCGTATGGGAGCGCTACTGCATCTGCTAACTGAAGCTTTCTATGCTGCCAGAATGGAGTTATCAGAAGAGAGGATTACACATCCTCTGCTAGCAGGAAAAGGGAAGATGCTAAAAGATACTTATCTTGGAAAAAGTATTTCCACATATCTATGTCTGAATTTATTAAAGACCATTTTCTTTTCTGCATGGCTTTTAACACATAGAAGTTTCCTACCCAAATTCTTCAAAATGATACACATACGTTTAATTTTCATACAATGAACATTTCTGCTGCATGTGTGAGTCTTTGAAGGGCTGGAGGTAACTCACAGTACAAGGCAGGAGTGATTTTATATATATAGCTACATGACTAGACAGGCTGCCAAAATGCAGAGAGAATATTTAAAGGCTGGGTGGAAGAAATCTCTAATTGTAAGCTGTTACTGTAATTTTAGGACTGGTAGGTGGTAGTAAAGTTATTTTCAAATCTGCAACTCATCAACTTTTTCTAAAGTCACAAATTTTATAAATATAATGCATTATCAGTTTAACGTAGAAAATAATTACTTCAGTACTGGAAGGTTATTTAACAACAGCAACCTCCTACTGAACAGTGGAGTAATCACATATATGTGATAAGAAGTTTTCTTTATGGCAAGAACTCCCAACTATTTAACTAGTACTGGGTGACAATCACTGTACACCACTATGTATCTGGTGAAATAACATAAGGAAAACCCCCCACAATTTTAGATAGTCCCCTTACCAGGACATAAATTGCAATACAACAAAGATTACATATAGAAAAAAAAAAAAAAAAAAAAAAAAAAAAAAGAGGAATTTTTCAATTTTACAACTTTTACAAGAATAGATATTTTCAGAAAAAAAATATAAAGCAAAATACATGGATCTAGCATGTACAGCTCACGTGCTGTGTTCTACTTTTTCAAGTAAGGCCCCCAAATTGTCAATATCCTTTAAAAAATAGGGAGCCCTGTCTTAGAGGGGCAAACTTACAACATTATTTTTAAAAGCAGTGGTTACTGCCACACCATCAACCATCCCGTGTATTTTCAAAGATCTTCAGTCTCTACAATTTAAGCTCAAGTAATGGAAACATATCAGGAAGCCTGTGTATCCGGGGCTCTGGAATCACTTTTCTAAAAAGGCAAAAGTGCAATGTAACAGAATTTGAAAAATATAAACTGGACTGAGAAAATGATACTGATACAGACTGTCATTTGTAAGATGTTGCCTTTTGTTTCAAATACCTCAACAACAAAAGACACTGAATCGGCAATTGCTGTTACTTAAATGGCTGTCTTATACGAAGTAAATTTAATGGTTTCAATCTATTTTTTAAACACATTTCGATAAGGGGAAAACAATCAACACAGCAGGGTTTGTCACATTTCAAAATATTAGGACTTTAAAAAAACGCAACAGATCATGAAAATATTCTATTGTCTAAGTAACAGGACTTCAATCATAGACTGCTAACCCATCAGTGCTAGATCATCTGATGACTTTTCCCAGCGATAGTTCTCAGGAACAGGATGCTTACTTTATGTCAATGGAATATGAAAGTGTCTTCCAGATCTGACTCATCCACCAGAAGCACTACATATTATTATCTCGTCACTTAAAATTAACTGAAAAAACACAACAGAGAACCTTTATAAATATATGCTGAATCCTCCTGAATAAACAAGGTTTAAAGGAAAACTCAGCACGCTTCCAATTTTGAACTTACCTTACTTCGCTGTTTTCAGGTGTGTGATGTCCAGATTCACCGTGGATTGCCAGCTCCCAATTCATGTGATGCCTCAGCATGCACTATGCTGGTGATATCACACCCACCATAGGAGCCCGTAGGGATAACATGAGGGCAAGATAAGTCCCGTGGTTTTACAATTTTCCGTATTTTTCTAATGTCTGATATACTTATTTTATATCCCAGAGGTTACAATATAGGAGTATTAATATTAAAATGTTTAGCAAATTAAGTTAACACTGTATTGTAATATACTAAAAAGGAGGTGGTGGTGGAACAGTACCTTACCCCTAAAGGCCAGCTCCAGTGTTGTTCTTTGGTGGGTATGAGGTCACCAACATAGTGCATGCAGGGCCAACACACGGATCGGGAGCTGGCAATCCGCTGTGGGTCTGAATATCGCAAACCTGAAAAACAAAAAAGGGTATGCTTTAAGCTACACGCGTGCTAACTCCTCCCTGGCAAAATGGGATGTACATAATTTTCCCATCTCAGTATGAGACGGACGGGTACATGATCACACCATACGCATTCATTTTGTACGAATTTCCTTTTTAACAAGTCCCTTTAAAATGGGTATTCTGGAAATTTAAAACAAGGGATCAGGCATATCCCGTGGCATACATTGTGAATATATATATATATAAAAAAAGATTTTTCAGTCTTATGCTTATAAGGCTGATTTAAAAAAGCTGAATTCACCTGCACTGAGATTAGCAGAGTGGTGATAACCTTTCTAGTGAAAATTACCCATTACAAAATCATACTCAGCTGGTTTAAAGAACTATCGAGACAAAATTGCTATTTTCCAAATAGTATTTACACAAAAATGTAATGACCAATAGAGTACAGAATATTTATATGGGAATGTTGTCTTAAAATGGTAAAAAAATCACCTTTCAGTACATTTAAACTGTAACTCCCAACAAAAGAGTAAGTTAAAATTCCACTCAGCTCGACTTCATACCCTAAAATGTAGTATTTTAGTAAGGTCCCAAAATGTGTTCCACAGAACAGCTGGTGGTATTCCCTGAGGGCATATCTGTAGCTTTACATAAAGTCCCTCCTTTCTAGATGCGAAGTTTAATTAAAAGGCAGCTAAGAAGTATTTTGAGATTCTTTAAAGCTATCATTTTGATGTGATTTACATTATAAAGAAGTTCAACAGTCCTATACACACACCCCAAAAGAAATAGCATAAAATTAACTTCCTATAACATTTACTGAACATTTGACAATTTAAGAAGTAAATATAAAGTGTTTTTACTGCTTGATAAACCGAGGCATTTATCCATCCTACACAAGAGATTACCGTCATAAACATAACAAATTCAACACTAATTTAAAAAACCCAAAAAATGAAAAACTGTGTAAGATTGATTCATTTTTGCTGAAAAAAAAAAAGGAATAGCAAATACTTCATTGGGTCAAGCTGGCATACCCAGCATAATACAGCCTCAAAACTTAGCAGAGGCAAGACACTGCCTTAATTTATATAAAATGGTTAGTTAAATTCTAGATTAATAAAGTCACTGCCAACTGTGATTATTCAGACATAACATGATTATACATATATGTAAGTCTTAATTTGCTACAAATTAGGTCTCAGACTGGCCTGGAAACATTGCAAAAGCCATTGGTAGGCGTGAGAACACCTGACAAAACTACAAACGTGTCAGACACAGCTGGGGTCATCAGGTAACCGTTACTGGCAGTTTTAGATGCTCTGGTCTATGTGCAGCGACCACCATCAGCAATCACACTTATCTATCTTAGAAGGAAATTCCAAGGATGACTTTACTTACAATTACAAAGGTGCAGTTGGAAATACCGCAGTTACAGAATACAACTCATCATAAGTACTCTGTCAGAAAGGAGGAATTTTTTCAGTGAAACAACTGACTGTAAAAATGGTGTTCCTTTATTTACAAACACACAGGAATTTCTCTGTTGTAGGTCTGATTTGCTTTTGGACTGAGGTTTTTTTGGTTCTTTTCCGAAAACCCCCTTTTTGACTTCCATTAGTGACATATGGCATTACAGTACTGATGGAATGATAAAAAAAATCATTGCTGTCCGTCCTATACTGAGCAAAAAATAAATACGTAAAATACATTTTGCTTAAGGGACATAAATGCTATGAAATATTGAAATCATTGTAATCGCTAAGGAGTCATGTCCTGTGTCTTGAAATTTTTAATAAATGCAGCTTGCTGTGAACAGACTGACACTTTGACACACTTGGCATTGCCTTTTTCTTTTTTTTTAACATCCTGCTCCTGACTAAATAAAATCTGTTGGATCCAGCCGAACCTAGACAGCTCTCTGAGGCACTGCTCCTGACTAAATAAAATCTGTTTTGACCTAGTCACATTCCAATTACTAATTTGGAGAAGTCAAAAATCTAAAATGAACTATCATTCCATTATATCAAAAAGTCAAAAATCTAAAATGAACTATCATTCCATTATATCAAATTTGCGTAACAGTAAAAACTGGTATCTCGTGTATAATTTAACCACTGAAGAAACATAATGTACCTAAGGTCCTTTGAGTGAGAGCCACTGAACAAGCAGTACAGGACCATACCGTTTCCCCAAAGGGTTGAATGCTGTGTGGAAACTGAAACAAGCAGCCACTTTCCAGTATTAGAGAGCCAATCAATTAACGCGCACAATCACTTAACGTCAAGTTCAGTCCAGAACAGCACAACACATTATAAAATGCCTATTATAATTTTTAATACAGCTAAACAAATAATATTTTGTTGACACGTAAGATAAAACGTCACGAGTGAGACTAAAAACCTATTTTTTTGTTGGATTCCACTGATTAAACCCAACACAGTATTTTTACACAAATCTGCATAACGTGGCGATATACTTGTGTATTTTTTTTAAAGCACAATACTCGAAATATATGCCATGTTCAGTTTTCCAATGCGTTTTCCTTAATTTTCAGAAATACCTAGTTTCAGAAACACAAACATACGCACTCATTCACTCAACAGCATGAACGTCATTCTCCTTCTTGCTGGGTCAGAGAATGGATTTTTCATCAAGAAACCCCAAATCCAGACACCCAACTGGGCAACAGACTACTATTTGAGATTCGTACTCCAGTACAGAATGCAGCAAGGGTCCAGCCATATTAAATCCTCCCCACTAGACCACTTCTACTTCAGACAATTCCCTGTTCATATCTACCTTTGTTTAACTTACAAGATATCATTAAGTAGTCTTCAGATGTACTCTTGCCATCATCATCGTCTTCTGTTTTTATAGTCACTGTGGAGCCAGGAACAGTACCAGCTGCTTGAATGACTGCCTCAGAATCTGAGTTCGTTACAAGAACTTCTTCTGAAACCATCGTAGGCGAGTTGGCTCCTGACACAGAGTCTTGCACCACATGCTCCAAATGTCCATCAGGACCCGTAACAAGGTCAGCCACAAAAACCTGATCGGGAACTCTAACGGTTTCTGTTATTAGATCAGAAGTCAAAACGTGATCACTGGTATCTAAGGCTTCTTCAATAGCAACGTCAGCTTCCAAAACAGAATCGGGAACAATTACACCTTCTGTTACAACATCAGTTTCAGTGATGATGTCAGGTCCTTGGACAACTTCAGCTGCTAAGCCATGATCAAGAGTTATTCCATCATCGGTAACAACATCAGAAACTAGGACAGCTTCAGGGACTGATACAACAATATGGTCTCCATCAATATGAGCAGTGCCAGCCATTCCAGCCACTATGAAACAATTATGAACGAGGAGAAAAATGTTAAATCATTGCATTAGCAATTAGTTTGGAATTAGCAATTACTCTAAGGAATGGAGTAATTGTACAGATAAGTTAAGCACAGATGTACAAATCTCTTACTTTTCAACAATCCACATTTTGCATTTCACCTGATGAAGACTACCCAAAGCAGCCTGTATTCTTTAAATTGAGAAAACCAAAACATGCCACTTCTTTAAGACATAATGTGGAGTTTACCCCAACTTTACATTTTACAATGCTGATACGTTAAAAACTACTGGCCAGTTTGCAATTTCATCTTCTTTTTTTTAAATTCCAGTTAGAAAACATCTGATTACAGTAGCAATTTGAGCCTTCACAGAATTCTTGCATGACAGTGGAAGTGCGGAAACAATGCATTAATTGCTGTTACAATAAGAGGACTCTCATCCTTTAGAATGCATGGGCCTTGATACAAATACTCATTTGTATGCAATATTTATAGTGCAATTTCCAACCACTTGCCACGTTGCAAGGAATGGCTAGGAGGAGAAACCTGTTTTTCATTAACAGACTTGACTGGCCAGCCATATTTGCAGACTACTTTTCTGCACATAAAAAAGAACGCATGTGAATCATTTTAACACACACATAAGCAGCAGTTTTAATCTTAATGAATAAAACGCTTCAAAAAATGGTTCTTAACAGAATGAAAAAAAATATTCAGCATTGTACTGCAAATGCAATTATTTTTATACACTCTGAGGGATACTAATTCATGTTAGAACAAAGACATGGTCCTTCCCAATACTTGAGAAGGTCATCTCCTGTCAGAATGCAAAAATGGAGATCTCCACAAAGCAAAGAGTGGAGATTTCTTGCTGTCCTTTCTCTAAATGTTCAAAATTGCAGAGGTTATTTAGCACTGCCACCAAAAGAAACGGTATTCATTTAAAAACTACCAATTTAGAAACGAGTTTTCTTACATCAGTACACAAAGACATATTATACACCACCTTAAATTTAGAATTATCTCAAAAAAAGTAATGCAAATAGCATTACTATATTCGTCAACTCTACATCTTGATAACATTTATAAACATACAACAAAAACCTGAAAAGAGTCTTGATTTTTATTCATTATTTTTAATAGTTAAAATGTTTACCAAAATCCTGCATAATCATAGTGTGAGGCATTTTGGATTCCTGTGTTTGCAATCCAAGACTTCCACCACCTGGATCCATATTCAGCTAATTTCATTCACAAGTAACTGCAATAAAAGCAAAATCAGAATTTATGTTCAACAGTGTTATTGTGTTGATAAGCTTTACTGGATTAATGTGTTAGACTGACCAACACAGAAAAGTATTTACCCAAAACTTCAAGAAAAAAGCATGCAGTACTTTGTACAACTCACTTTGCTTTATTCGGTTTTAAGACTTTTTTGACCTAAAATTCCCAAAATGTTTCCATCCAGAAGTAGTCCTACAGTTATCAAACAAATTACACATGCGAGCGAAACCAAACAAGTCAGTAATTCTTGGTCAGGACTTAAAGGGGGTTTTTTATGTAAGTCTTTGGTTACTACCTGGCCTAGAACAGTTCTGTTTATATTCTGTAGAATTCAACTGAAAGTGCTTTTTAGTTACCTTCAGCATGTGGAGGTACAGACTTCAACATTCAACAACTTCAAACTTTGTTTCTAGGAACAGTAAGCATAAGAAATGCCTAAACCTTCCAACTTCCCTGCTGCAAACTGATCATTAAAATATTTTTGCAGTTTTATGAGACTATCTCCATAGGGTAACAGCTCACTGACTGACAGCAAAGATCTCACCCGCAATACCAGCTATAGCATCAGGCCCCGTAACAAACCAATATAACACGTAAGGGAGCAGCTGAACCTAGCTACAGGTGACATTATCTAGGAACAGAAAGCAAGTCAAGAAGCAAGTTAGCTTTGCCTTAACCTGCAGCTGTCTGTAGAAGCAAAAAATTCAAGTGGGACATCAACAGTGCACAGGTGCTATTACTACCTGCCTGCCTTACCATACTAGCACCTCTTAGCAGCTATGCACAAAGAAATCACCTGTGCTCTATCCCTCTCTGCATATACTCTTGAACTACTTATCAAGACTGGTCATTATGGATGTGTGGAGCTGCATCGAAGAAAGCTGAGAACTGTATTGGGAGAATAATTTTTTTCAGATTCTTTCACAATTTTGTACCTATCAGGTATTTCAAAACAAATTTTCATGCGTCAATTGAATTGAACATTACGATTCATTATAGGCAAGTTTTGAAAAAGCTGCATAGTGCAGTAAATTTACAAGAACGGGAAGTGCTGGAGCTAATTTTCTCTTCCAGCAGATGCGCATGAACCCCTCTATATCATTAACAAAGTCTGACAAAAGGCCTGGTAGAAAATGTAATCAGTGCTCAGTTAGATTTGCGTGCACGGTGCAGAACGACCCACCCTAACAGGCGACAGCTAAGCGTATGAAAGGCCAACTTACTTCAGCATCTCCATTGCCACGACACTTACTAAAGAAACGACAGTATTTAACAGACTTGGTGCTGGCACCTCTCTTTACCATCCCAGCATTAGGGCTGTAGTATCCATATTGGCTGACATTTTATTTCAAAACTGCCAGGTTATTCTAGAAATCTGGTCTTCCAACACTGTCCCTTCTGGGCTGCCTCATTTCTGCTGCCAGGGAAAAGCTGGTCCTATGCAGCTCTCTGCAATATCCCTCCAATGGAAAACTGATCCTTTAAAGCTTCTGATAGAACAGACCCGCTCACTCTTTGTGAACTCCCCACCGTTCTCCGTCACTGTTCATCTTCAGCTTGATTTTCTTTTGGTTTTGACAATTGCTTTGGCTCTTCTAATTCCCCTTAACGCTTAGGGGCTTCTGTTTCCCGATTTCTCTTTTGTCAGACTTGCCTGTTTTCCTCAATCTTTTAAAATGACACCAGTTCTTCAAACCTTGCTACACAGCCATGCCAGTTTTACTCTGAGGTTTACTTCTGAGATTCTCAAATTCATTAAAATGCAATTCCAATTCCAAGATTTTTCACACATTAAGAGTAAACGTTGAGCTTCTCACTATGCTCAATTCTACCAAGATCTCCACTTTGGGTATCATATCTGTCTTGAGGACACCGCATCTCTTTCATGAGGTACAGCTACACAAACTTCTCTCAGAGAAAGCACGTAAAATGTCTTTGACAGTGTGTCTCCATAAAATACAAGAGAGAAGGATAAATCAGCATTCCTCCACGTTATTTGCATTGCTACTAAGCACCGAGGTGTGAGGACTCTGAATTATTTTTGCTGCAACCCAAAAGACTTTTACACAAGTTCTCAGCGCAGATGAGGCGACTCCATAGAAGCAGCTACAGGGGTGAGCAAGGCTTTCATAGGTGAAAAATCTCTAGCTTAAAAAAATCTCTGTTGCACAAGACTAAAACCTTGTACTTTCCTGCCCTCTCGTACCCAAGAATCAGAAATAAGTGACAGTAACACACAGAAAACTAAGAGTTTTAGGAGTTGTGGGAAGTGAACGCAGAGTAAGGGCTCAAGTCAGAACTACCTGGAACTGGCTGGTGCAAAGATGAACAGGGAAGTACAAGTGCTTTTAAGAGCAAGTCTCAAAAATACAGTACTTTTACTGTTGTGACCCTGATCCTGCTTTTCTGAATCTCGTAAAAAGCTGACCCCCCCTATTCTACCGCATGAATTTGTTTAAGTCTGCGCATCTAAATCCAAAATACGATAGAAACTTTAAGAACTTCGTGGTACAACATATTTGACAACCCTACTGCAATAAAATATACCGCAACAGAGTGAAGACCTAACATAGTCAAGCCAAGGAGAGTAAGAAAATAAGCCAAGCTGTACGAATAAATGGCTTAAGTGCCTGAAATGTCTGAGATACCTCTAATCCAGAATCCAGGGACCCAGAAAGAGCCAGGACCTAATGCAACTCACACTATCGCACTAACCCAGGTGTAAACTAAACTGTGCAGTAGACGTGACTTTAATTTACCTTAAAACATGAAGCTCTATCAGCAACAGGCACTAGAGTCCCTGGTAAAAGACCCTACAAATGAAATGCATCAAAGCATCTTAATGCCAGTTACAATGTTTACTGCAACGCTCGCAGCTCACCACAACTGGCAGCGCCGGGATCCTCGGAACCAAACCAAGTGGCCATGGAGAAGGGAGATGCTGTGCAGGCCAAGACACATGTGCCAGGTGGGTACAATTTTGTCTTTGTGGTTTTTTTTTATGGAAAACTACAAAACAGAGTAAGAAGAGAAAGAAGCAGCACGTGGAAAACACAATCCATGCTTACTGCATCTTCATTGTCAAGGAAGGAACCGAGCAGATTATTCCTCCTCTTATACTCGCGAAATCCTCAAGAGAAGGAAGCAGCAAGCAGTCTGCACTGACGGCAATTTGAAGAAAAAGTCACCAATCCACCCCAAGGAAGTTTCAACTTAACTGAGAACACAAAAGAACCAAAGAACTTATATCACCTAATGGCACTACCATCCTTTCGACACTTTCTCCCTGTATTATCTGCTCAAACCTACTTCTCTCAACTTGTCTTCAAAATCTACAGTACTGATTCTCGGGGACGATGACGACACAACATTCTTCCTGCAGAGTTACAAGAATTCCCCAATGTAATTTCTTGACAGTGCCCTAACAGAGTAAAGTTAGTTCCACGGACCACGTAGTATTAGGAAAACATGAGTCAAACGTTATCAATGAGGAAAGTAAGTCTAAGATTTAACTAACCAATTCCAACCATACAATCAATTTTCAACGTAGTTTCAAATTTTAGCTCAAAAATAAACTTTTTTCACCACTGTAAGAATTATAAAGCAACCTCAGAACCTTAACGCAAAGCTTTATCACTCCAAAATTATTGTCACAGCCATTTGAAGCTCTTAAGGTAGCTAATGAATACTTGCTATTACAAAATAAGGCACGGCTCTAGACCATAAATGGCTAATTTAATATAGCAATTTCAGAATTAATGCAATACTCTACAATTTCCTGACCGCAGCCTTTACACTTGGATAATCCTTCTTTTTTAATGTAAATGAATATAAAAAAATTATCTTAAGTCATATAAATCTGAGATTACAGGAAGAACATGCTACGCTTTTCTTCCTTCTTAATAAGCAATTTAATTTATTTTCAGGTTATATAATTAGATGCCCAAACACATTATATATTGTGCCACACAGAAAATTCAATACAAAGTAAGACCACAATTTTAATTTAAATTAAAATTTCTGCAAGGAAAGCAAATTGTCACTAAAAGGAGTGTTTTCCCAGTAGCCAACAGGACTATAAAAATTACCAAAGTTATGGGATGGCACCTTTTGAGCATATAGTGCTATGAATACCTTAAACTTCCATTAAAACCAGAGATAGATGATGACACGTTAGCAGTATACGCGCTGAAGCTGTACCTCAGTTGATGCACCTGGTATCCAACCACAACTCAAGTATACTCTTCTAAACCCTCAGTGCAGACAAAGGACAGAGTTGCATGAACTATGCAATCATAGATTATTATTTTTTTTTTTTTAATACCTACTTTTGGGTCTTAAAGGAATGCAACAGCAGGAAAACCCCTTGCTGCTAATGCTGGAACAATTAACAACAGGTAAGGCCTACAATTCTGCTACAACTGGATGTGTTTGCTCATAGATTTCAGTAGTGCAGAAGATTTAATTTCACACACTACATATGCCTGCAAATCTTATTATGGGAAAGAGCAAAAAATGTAGTACAGTGATTAACTATGGTTCTTCACAGCTTCTTTCTGTAGAACACCATGTTACATATCCACACAATCACAGAATAAGTGGTACAATCATGTGCTTCAAAAAAGGCAGAAAGCCACAATTCTGTATGCTGTCATAATCCTAAACTCATCCATACCTCTCTTGCCTCTAACTATTAAGATCCCAAGATTTTCCTCTCAGCTCCCCTTCTCCTCTATGTGTTTAGAATAAAATGCTGTGTAAATGCTTTATTAGCATCAGCCAAGAAAGTAACACCACTTTACAGTGTCCCATTAATATTTTCATTGATTTTTTTTTTTAATTACAGCATGCTATCTTGCACCAGGAAGAGTACATTACCATCAGATCCCAAAACTGAAAGATTTCACGAAACCTAAACTGGGAGAGCAGTGTCTCAAGGCTAGATTTTGTCAGTATTTACGTATCTGATATTGTTTTGCTTTTTAGAAAAATGTAATTCACTTTCTAACTAGCTTCAGGAGCACCTTGATTTTAACCTATCTGAGGTCTTTATGCAAAAGCTCTTCCTTAGACAGGGCTCAGCTGAGAACAAGCCATGAATTTTAGAGTAAAAAAGTGGATATATGACCTCTCAATCTACAGGCTGGAAATTACAACTGGAGGCTGTATTTTTTTAAAATCAAAGATAATGGTTGGCAGTTTGGGACTACCTAAGAACACATCCTTGTAACAGCAACACTCAACTGAGAAACTGGTAAAGGCCCAGGCCCTTTTAAACGCTGCTTTTAGTATATGCATTCATTTATTCTTAGCTTAGTCTTCCCATAAAAATATAATTAAATAACCATGAATACTTTAATTTTCTTCGAGAAAGCTTTCAGAAAACACCCTAAATTCAGAGATTTTCAGCAAAGTATTTTAAGGAGAAGGGGAAAAATATGTGGGCCTCAGCACTTCTACTCCCTCCTGGGACAAAAAGGGTGTCGTTCTTGTACCCCAAGCTACAGGGAAGCTCCCAATCAGTATGGTGGCTTCCAGGCATTGTTGCCATATTTAAAATTTTTATAACATAATAAATATTTCTACAAAATGCCAATTACAACTTAATAAATCTACAGAGAGTGTATTTAATACATCTTGTTATATTCTAAACAGCGTGGTCCTGCAAATGCTAAGCATCTCCCCAGTTTACACATACAATTAATTATCCCCAATACATTCAGGTGACACATTTTCACATCAAGCATATTTGCATGGGCAGCCCTTAAGCACTCATTTCAGACAGAGAGTTTCTTCAAAATAATATTTAAGTCTTGTTTATATATAATAAAGTAAAACACGTCACACTTTGTCAGGTGTTTCAGATATTTGTACGCTGCATATGGCATTTCGATTAAACCACAAGGACGGAGCTCAGCTATACAGCAATGTAACACAATAAACAAACTTAGATGTAGCTGAAAAACCCCAACCAGATGTTTTCTAATTATCTCTTGACATTCAAGCTCAAGAAGAACACAAGAGAATGACGCTCCCCTGAAGGCACTTCAGGGGTTTTGGTTTTTTTTTTTTTTTCCCCCCCTGATTTTTAATGCAGCAACCAATCGAAATGCAATGAGAAACATCCTGCTTCGGCAGAAATCTTAAGCAGGAGAAGCCAATTCATAAAGTAACGTGCAGGTTAACGCAAGCCCTTCACAGAAAAAAAGACCGGGTATGAAAAACTAACGTGTCCATTTTAAAGTCCTTTATTGTGTTCACCTATGAAGCATCCATGAAAACTCACGCTCTAAATCCATTTAAAATGACAAAAGGCAAAACCAGTGAACGAGACGTTGTCTTACTGCCTGAAACGCGCTTAAGGCTCTAAAATAAACGAATAAAGCAGACGCATTTACATCGACGTGTCACATCCACGGCAGGAACCAAACTGCCCGCAGCAAGAATCACCGGCGGAGATGGGCGACAGCTCCCGAAAGCTCCGCGCTGCCCCGCCGG